AAAGCCTACGTTTATACCGTTTTCTCTTCTTCTCGTTTGGGGTCCTTCTCTTGTTCGCCGTGGGGGAAACGAGTCCTGAGGTGTTTCGCCGTTTTCGGGCTCTCGGGGCCCTCCACGGGCCCCGGGACTGGCAGGAAACGACTCAGGTCCAGGCCTCCTAGATGGGGTCGGGGTAGATGTTGTCGGAGGATCGCTCGCATCACCGATGCATCGACGATGCGGCTCGATGCGGAGCCCGATTTACTCCACGCCGACGTCGCCGACGCATCGCCGACGTCGCCGATGCATTGCGGCGTGATCCTTCGACCCCATCTACTCGGACCCCATCTAGGAGGCCTCTATCAGGATGGGCAGATGGTCCTGGGGGAAGGCCCCAGGGTCGAGAACCCGTTTCCCTGCCCCATGCTGACGGAAGGAAGCGTCACGCTCCACAGCGCCGCTTGGGATCCCTCCATGATAGGAGGGCCTGCAAGGATGGACTTTCAGGCTCAAAATAACTTGCGGCAGTACTCCCATACCGCCCTGCCCGCTGGACGAAAACCACCCAGGCCCCAACCATCCACCCTTTCACTGGGAAGGGGGGGAGGAGGGGGCAGCCAAGGGTGTTCACTGCTCGGCTAGTTCGGTTCCGTCGCAGTCGGTTGCGTTCGGTCGCTTCGGTTCGGTTGGCTGTTGTGTCGTTGCCGCGTCGTTGTGCCCGTCGGTTTCGGTCGGTTTCGGCTTCGCTCGGTCGATTTTCGGTCGGCTTCGGTTTTTTTTTGTCGCCGTGCACGGCCTTGGGAGGAAGGGGCAACGCTACGGTCGGGAACTTGTGGGTAGCGTGTCGCTCCGCCTGTTCTGGCCTAGCACGCTTCGGCGCGACACGCCATCCACGCCGCGGTTCCCAGGCATAAGCGCCCCGAGCTTTTCCCAGCCTCCCGCCCCGCGGAGCTGAGCGACACGCTATCCGCTTGCAGGGCATAGCGTGTCGCTGGAGCTGCAGCCGCGATAAGCCATGCAACAGTTCTCGACCGTAGGCCCAGATCTCTGACGATCTGATGCTTCCAGCCACCCTTTTTGCCTCGAGTTGGGCCTCCGAGGCCCGTTTTTTTCCGAGCCCCGGGACCATCAAAAATGGGCACGGGGCGAAATATTGGTCCTCGGGAAGGAGTCGGCGTCTCTGGGTTCGCGCGCTGACAGGATCATATCGGAGGATGTCTGCGAGAGGGGACTATAGGCTCAGGGTGGGCATGCATCGCCCCCCCGTGGCCCACTGCTCGCCGATAGGAGCCCGACAGCCAAACACGCCCAGGAGCGTTCGGACGTGCTATCGGGGGCCTTGTCGCCGATCTATCGGCGATGTGTTCCAGGTCGATGCCCCCCCCCCCCTGACCCTAATCCCCCCCCCCCCCCTAACGTCCTCCACGCAGGGGAGGACGGAGGGCCGGGCGTTTCGCAATGGGTGGGCGCTGAGGGGGGGAAGGGATCGAGGGCGGCAGGAGGAGGGGGGCCCGCATGGGGCCCCGGAGGGCGACCCCCAGGGGGTCCCGAAGGGTGCACGAAAGGTGCTCCGTGCTTCACCCGCCGGCTTGTTGCCGCCTGCTTTGGTTTCGAATGCGCCGAATCGACATGTTCATATGATTTTCACAGTCTCGCGCTCCGCCAACTTCTGTCATCAGTATGCCTGCGACTACCTGACAGAGACTCGGCATGAATGATGAATGCCACGGGAGAAGCAAGAAAGAAAAGACAAGTGGCAGGCAACGCGCCGAGGGATGTGGGGACGGGGGGAGGAGGAGGGAGGAGGAGGGAGGAGCGGGGGAGCGGCGGGGGTGGGGGGGGGGAGGAGGGAGGAGCGAGGGAGCGGCGGGGGTGGGGGGAGAGAAGGGGGGCGAGGATCGAGGCTGCTGGTCGTCTCTGCCCCATCCCTCGGAGGCCCCGGGGGCCGGGTCGGGCGACATTAGGGTGGGGGGGGGGGGGGGGCGACAGGGACAGGCATGCGGCTGGCGCCGGCTCTGTCGCTGGTCGCCCTCCCCGATGCCACGCCGCGCCTCCTGCGCCAGCCGGAGAAACCAGGCAGCTACGTGAGCTGATCCGCTCACGGGCTCCACCGTCGTCGTCGTCATCGTCGTCGTTCTTCGTCGTCGTTCTTCGTCGTCGTTCTTCGTCGTCGTCGTCGTCGTCGTTTGTGTCGTCGTCGTCGTCGTCGTCGTCCGTCGGCGTCGTCGTGTTTGTGTCGTCGTCGTCGTCGTCGTCGTCGTCGTCGTCGTCGTCGTCGTCGTCGTCGTCGTCGTCCGTGGTCGTCGTCGTCGTTCGTCGTCTCGTCGTTCTTCGTCTTGATCATCATCATCATCGTCTTCGTTCTTCGGTTTTCGTCGTCGATCTTCGTCTTCCCTCCTCGCGACCGCGCATCCACAGGACAGGCCACGCCCCCTCCCGCTTCCCCCCCCCGCCCCACGCCCTCTGCCGCCTGACTGGGCTCGTGGCCTGCCCTGTGGCTGCCTTCCTCCTGCTATCTCCCTCCTCCTCCTCTCCTGCTCTCCTCCTCCTCCTCCTCCTCCTCCTCCTCCTCTTCCCTCCTCTCCTCCCCCTCCTCCCCCTCTCCTCTCCTTCCTCCTCCTCCTCCTCCTCCTCCTCCTCCTCCTCCTCCTCCTCCTCCTCCTCCTCCTCCTCCTCCTCCCGTACTGGTTCGACGCTGTCTATAGTTGCGCTTGCAGCGCCTGCAGCCTTGGCTTCAGCCCCCCGGGTGTGGCCGCGGCCCGCCGCTCCGCGCCCGCTGCCAGGCCGCCCCAGCACGCGCCGGTCGCTCCCGCCTCTCCTGCTGAAGATCTCCTTCCGTGGTGACCCTGACCGTCCAGGAGGGCTAAAGCATAGCACCAGGACGTCGACGTCCTAATTCCTGTCGAGGTTTGAGGCAGTCCAGATAGATCTATCGGTCTGGAGTGTTATTCCCAACCATCCTGTGGTGTTGGGTCCTCGTTTTGAAGAGACGGTGCCCCGCGTTCCTCCTCCTTCCTCCCGCTGCCCCCTCCTCCCCCTCCTCCCTCCCCCTTGCCTCTGCCCTTCGCATGTCTCTGTTTCGGCACATCCCTCACGCGTTCCGTGGCCCCATAGGGAGCTCCACCGAAGGCCCCAGTGACAGGGTCCGCATGGCGGCCCCGCATTTTGGCGCACCCCTCACACGGTTCGTGGCCCCATAGGGAGCTCCACCGAAGGCCCCAGTAGCAGGGTCCGCATGGCGGCCCCGCATTTTGGCGCACCCCTCACACGGTTCGTGGCCCCATAGGGAGCTCCACCGAAGGCCCCAGTGGCAGGGTCCGCATGGCGGCCCCGCATTTTGGCGCACCCCTCACACGGTTCGTGGCCCCATAGGGAGCTCCACCGAAGGCCCCAGTGGCAGGGTCCGCATGGCGGCCCCGCATTTTGGCGCACCCCTCACACGGTTCGTGGCCCCATAGGGAGCTCACCGAAGGCCCCAGTGGCAGGGTCCGCATGGCGGCCCCGCATTTTGGCCCGCCCTCACACGGTTCGTGGCCCCATAGGGAGCTCCACCGAAGGCCCCAGTGCAGGGTCCGCATGGCGGCCCCGCATTTTGGCGCACCCCTCATACACGGTTTCGTGGCCCCATAGGGAGCTCCACCGAAAGGCCCCAGTGGCAGGGTCCGCATGGCGGCCCCCCGCTATTTTGGCGCACCCCTCACACGGTTCGTGGCCCATAGGAGCTCCACCGAAGGCCAGTGGCAGGGTCCCGCATGCCGGCCCGCCCCATTTTGGCGCACCCCTCACACGGCTCGTGGCCCCGTAGGGAGCTCCACCGAAGGCCCCAGTGGCAGGGTCCGCATGGCGGCCCCGCCCCATTTTGGCGCACCCCTCACACGATTCGTGGCCCCATAGGGAGCTCCACCGAAGATGATGCCCACAATTGCGGTACTAACAATTGCTCATGGTTGGGTCCTTCGCCAGGCTAATTTTTTTGCACTCTGGAAGGTCAGGGGAGTGTCCCCCTTCCCCCGCCCGCGTTCTGCGGCCGCCCTCGTCCTCCTTCGCTCCCTTGCTGCCCGTGGAGTGGTACGCCACGTGCGCCCCTGGGCTACTGTGTGGAGCAGAGCTATTTGGAGGTGGATCGACCTCCTACCCTGACACGTCGATTAAGGAATTGGCCTTTTTTCGGTTGGCGAGAGGGCGTCGCGGCCGTCATTCTTGCGAGTCCAGGTCCGTCGGTTTCGGCCCCAGGCCGTTTTTACTAAGGAGAGGTTTACTAAAGTGAGGTTTGTGAAGGAGGAGGAGGAGGCGGAGGAGGAGGAGAAGGAGGAGCAGGAGGAGCAGGAGGAGGAGGAGGAGGAGGAGGAGGAGGAGGAGGAGGAGGGAGGAGGAGGTGCGAGAGGAGGATGGGGACGGAGGGAGGAGGAGGAGAGGAGGAGAGGAGGAGGAGGAGGCGGAGGAGGAGGAGGAGGCGAGAAGGAAGGAGGAGGAGAGGCGGAGGAGGAGGAGAGGAGGAGGCGGAGGAGGAGGAGGAGGAGGAGGAGGAGGAGGAAGAGGGAGGCGGCCCCTTCGGCGGTGGCCGGCTGCCCCCTCCGGCGACGCTCGAGCTCTCGCTGCGCCGCGGGACTGTCGTCGCCCCGCGGGTTGTTGGCGCGCAGGACGGCGGGAGCCTCACCGCCGAGGAGCGGCGGCAGAGGCGAGCGCGCAAGGGCGAGCCTCGAGGAGGAGGAGCAGGAAGGAGGAGGAGAAGGAGGAGGAGGATGAGGGAGAAGGA